GTAATGCTAATATTAAGTACCTAGGCGTAGTTCTAGTTGCAGGTTTACATGAGAATACATATGAGGGAGAATATAATATAATATTTAAAATATTATTCTCTCGCGATGCTTAACTTATTCTTATTATTGAAGACATTAAAGTCAAACAATACTTAATAATGAAATAAATTTCAGACATTGAAACGGTCACTATAAAATTGGAACAGGACAAAATGTTCCTGGTCAGCTAGCTAGTAATAATACAATAATGGAGTTAAGAATTTAATAAATCCTCAGTTTAAATTTGAGGACTTAAGTGCGTGCTATCTCCTTTATTACCTTTGCTGAAGGTCATGCTACAGCGCTGGATCAAAAGTTTTGTAAGTTCACACGATTACAAGAATATTACGATAACTCTCAAAAGGCCACATTCTGGTACATTTAATTACTACTAATATGAAATTTGTGTTAAACACACACATAAATTCGAATAATTGAGATTAAATAGCTATTAGTCCTTGAGTAGAATTTAATGGATGTACGTAAAGTATTTACCTCATGTAATCGAATGATAAGTTTCTACTTCAATATTACAAATATATACAAAAACTGGATTTAAATATCAAGGGGATATAAAAATGACAGTTCCTACATCGTGGTTATTTCTTCATGACATTAATTTCCGTAAGTGGAACGATTTATTTAAATGATGCAGTGACACTCATTGTAGGAAATATTTTATGAAGGTCGTATTAAATAATGGTCAAGTGCGAATGCTTTTTTATTATAAGTTAACAACCAAACTCTCCTAATTATTATTAATAATGTAATAAGTTTGTAACTTTCACACTTTAATTAAGCGACCGATACATGTAATTGCAAGGTGTTCATGAACCAAAATAATAAAAGGGACCGATACCACCCCTATTCATCTGACTATAGGAAAAAAATACGCAGGTCAACCACACCCACTCCAGTTCATTTCCCTTTTTTTCTGGAGGGGGGGGGGGGGAGGGGACTCAAAGGGCAACGCACTTGTGACGTCACAGTAGTAGACCTCACACAGTAGTAGACGGTAGTCACTTACCATCAGAGGACGCGTCTACTCGTTTACCCCCATGTCAAAAAAAAAACAAACATCCCCATCGCATGCTGAATTTACCAAAGTAACATTGTTATTTCACGAAAAACAAAAGAAAACCTTAAACACAAAGGCACATTAATCTCATAAAACTATGCATATTAAAGTACAGCACTTCTGTACAAACAAGTTTTATTTTCCGTTCAAAGAAGTTCGTTGAAGTCTTTTGTATGGAGTGGCCGACGTTACCTTTCAAAGCAAGATAAGAGTCATAAACGAATCATTTTCTTTATGTTTGGCCGTGAGATGACCGTGATGTGTCAAATATTGATCAGTGACACGGCATATGCTACTATACTGTAAGGATCGCTCCCTGTTTTTCAGCTATTGTCGAAAGTAGCATACCATTTTTTTTATTAACTTTTGATTACAAAGGTCTACAAACGAACTTCAACGTCTTTGTTTTTTAACCATGGAATTTAGTCAAATTACCCATTTACAAACAATCGATATTTAGAAACAAACTTAACCATTGCAATTTAACGTATTTTTAAATACAAAAGCTTCAAAATACAAAGCGTCAAAAAGTTGAAGAATTTATCTGGCAAAAGTTTTAGGAAATCTTCATTTTCTTCAAATTAGACAGTCTAATTTTGTCAGAATTGGTTTTCTGATAGGTCCTCAGACGCTTAGACTAGGAACTGCTCATAAGAAAAATAGCCACACAGTAGCTTAGATTTTCGGTATTCATAATTAGAAGTATTCACTAATACTGGACGCAATTACTTTTTTGTATTCGCGGAACGGTTTCCGAGGTTATATCAATCGGAATTGATCCCATTATCATTATTAATTCAAACGATCGGAATCTTTAAGTCTTATAATGATTTTATAATACTGCATAATAGATTACTTACAGGAAGTATGTGCTATTTATACACCCACAAGAACTTGTAACATAATCAAAGAATTAAGTATATTTAAGAAATATATTATTTCCTAACAATAACTTGACGCATCTGATACACGGTTGTCTGATTGCAAATTATCCAGAGACTGTCCTATGATAACCAGACTGCTGATAAACATACTTACCTATTTCTTAATACACAAATGTCATGCTAAACTACAGCACAGAACAAAAAACCGTATTCGGTACACAATTATTTGGCTTGTGTGGGAATCGAACTCACGACTTCTGGCTTAGCAGTGAGGATCACTAAACACTAGACCAATGGGCCAGTCGAATGATAAATGAAGAATTGTAGTGAATTATTTCCTTGCATTTAATGTTTGGCAGTAATTTGTTTATGTAATATGTTTTAATGCAAAATGCAAATTTTATTAAAGACGGATATAACACGCGGTATTTATATTTTACTCGTTACGAGATAAGAATTGTATTAAGAATGGAATAATGTAAAAGTGAAGGGGTGCCGTAGTCGGGAAGTGATTGAGAACAATGTTCTTATCCTAAAGGAACACATTCTATATCAAATATTTATATTAATTTATTGATTTAAGTAAATATATCATATATCATGTATGCGTTGAGTATGATTTTTATTCAGTGCAAATATTTGTATGCCTGAATATGGCAATTTATTTTCATATGACTAGAGTTATGTGTACTATTTATTGTATGTCTATGTGTATTTTAGTATGTTTTTATATACATCTGTACTACTGTTTATGTTTATCTCCTTATCATCATCAACAGCCTATAATAGTCCACTGCTGGACATAGGCCTCTCCTTAGAAAGGAGGTTTTGGCCTACTATACCACGCTGGATAGACGGGTTGATATAAGTTTTCCTTCTCTTTGAAGGGTTGTTGTCCTGCGTAGTTTGCTCCCTGAGTCGGCTCTTACGACACCCACGTGATGAATAGGGGTGGTGATATTCCGTATTCTTAATCTGTCACCAATTAAGTATAATTATCTATTTCCTCAATTAAGTATAATTATTATCTTTTTAAAACAAAACTTAATTTCTAGTGCACCTACTCAGACATTTCCCTACAACCCAAAGATTGACTGGGAGAATGCCTGTGGCATTAAATCCACCATTGTACAAGTGAGTTGTAATTTGTGCATAAAGAATAAAATAAAATAAAAATAAATAATAGCTTTCCATCAGTTAAGGGGAGTCAGACTTTCCAGCAAAAGCCGTCCGTGTGATGACGGATTAAGAATACACAATGTCACCATCCCTATTCGTCCCATGGGTGTCGTAAGAGCCGACTAAGGGAGTAAACTTTGCAGGACAAGTTTACTGCAAATAGAAAGAAAACTTGAAACACACCGTATATGAACCCTTCGAGCAAGCCAAAACCTCCTTTCTAAGGAGAGGCCTATGTTCAGCAGTTGAATTTAGAGGCTGTTGATGATGATTTCGTAAATGGGAGTAAAATTATAGTTCAAGATGGAAGTTCGAGCTTGCATTTTGGACACCCTTACAGATTCGTTACAACCTTAAAGTTTTAGATATTGTTATTATGTAGGTTTATGTATGTAACTAGGTAAGTATTTAGGTATATGTATGTATAGTATTTATGTCATTGTTTCTGTCTTACTTCTCAACAATTTGCTCTTACTTTACACATCAATGCCTAGTGCACCTACATTTCAGCACCACCCTAAGGTAGACTGGGAGAAAATGCTTGTGGCATGATGAATTATTTTTGTGCAAAAAGAATTAAAATAAAATAAATAAATATTTTGTACGATTCAAAAATCAAATCAAGAATTTTTTGAATGCTGATATATAACAAACCTGCTGCCTGACTCGGTGGCTGAATGGTAGCGTATGCGACTGCTGTTTTGAGGCCTCGGGTTCGATTCCTGGGTCGGACCTAAAGTTTGTATGCTTTGCAAATATGTGTTTCGGTGTTTGGGTGTTCTTTCTATGTATAATATGTATGTATTAAAAAAAAAGTATGTAAGTAATCTATCAGTCAATCTAGCTTTCATAGTACAAGTTCTGCTTAGTTTGAAACTAGATGACGTTGTGTGTTAGATGTCTGAAATATTATTATAGTTCCTTTTTTTAACTTAACTTACAATGGAGTAAAACCTTGGTGAGATACTTTTACATCCCTACGGTTGCAGTTTGTTTCTAACTATAATGATAAATCACTATGTTACATTACATTACAAAATAATAATATTATAAAGCCAAATCTATGCAAAAAATTGGTATAAAGATGTTATTGCTCCAAGAATACGTCACACAAATATGTAGGTGTTTTAAAAAGTAGTCAGTTCAAATAACTACTACGTATATAACGACAGGGCTATGAGGAATGTGTTACATTATTGCCCTGCCCGGTATCCGCCACACTCTAAATCCCTGACATTTCGATCACTTCCGTAACCCTTGAGGTGTGGTGACACTGTTAGCGTTGTTTAAAGTCTCAGAAATCAGAAGCTTAGGGGTTTAATAAGTATGTGAATATTAATACAATGAAAAACATTTTTCAATACTTTCAATTTGTATTTTTCTAATGAATGTAAATATCTATTTAATCTTTTTTTTCTTTTTATTTTTACTACAGAATAGACTTTCTAAGTAGCTGTTATTGACATCATCTTTAAAACTGTTTTTACAGCAAAGCTTCCAAAACATTTTTTTAAGTTTTCGAAAATTATAGAGATTATTAAACATTTTTGTTCACGATTGTAACCTTTTGCAAATCAACAAAAGCCGCTGTCAGCCTCACTCAACCCTCAAGCCTTCAAGTTTAACAATTGTATCGCAACCGCCCCACCACGACTTCGCCACCGTCGCAGACGCAGGCCTCTGCAACACTCACTCCCGCGCACGCGCGCTGAGCTTTCGCGCGTCGACTGTGTAATATGCATCGGTGGTGACAAGTGCCTGTGTTGTGTACGACAATATATTGTACAAAGACCGTGATCTGTGAAAGATATTCTGCAACCATGAGGTCTTTCGGCGCCGCGGCACTTATTGCTCTAGCGATCCTTACAGGTAAATTTCAAATGCCTATTCCTGTAATATATCTTCAAGGAAAACACACTGAAGGGAAAATTCTTTTGTTTGATTTGATTCTTGTTTTGTGAATATTAATAAGAAAATCCTATTAATATTCAAAAATTTCTATATCATCAGTTTGAATAATTTATGCAGTAAGTGTGATAATTCGCGGATATTATGATGTCAAAAAAGACTTGCCAAATAATATACACATTTAACTGCATATAAATTACTAAAGATGTACTAGAATCGAATTCAGATAGTCGAATGCTATTCTCGTTACAAAATCCCAAGCATAAACAAACATCTGTCGCTATTTCGGTCATTAACATACTACTTTCAATGCTAAAGTTATTAATATTAAAACTTGACTTTAAAAGAATATATATAAACCATCTACTTTCAATTTTTTTAAATACGTTCGTTAGTTGAATACTTTCGTTCTCGCCAACCAGTTGCGCCTGTATCGTCTCAACTGCGGGATTTCATTCAATGTGCATGGGAAAAATTGCTTGTGAAAAAGATTGGCTAGCCTTCTTGAGCAATACACTATACTGACACACTCACGCCAGTGTAAAAATGTGAACATATTATTTCGTTATATGCCTATCTGTAATTAGCCGTATTTTTATGCGTAATCCACGTTTAGTTGTTTCATCGCATGCGTTGTCGCTACCGGGAACGTAAGTCGCGCGTAACTGACGTGACTGCGACAATTGATAGTTCGTTTTCCTTTTTGCGGCCGCTTTTAGTGGCCATACGCAAATTAGATCGTTGTATACAATGTTGTAAACATTGCATAACTAATACATTTTCAAGTTGGTCCGACTGCTCCCAGCACTCTAATTGTGGATTTCCTTATTGAAATACATATTATGTCATTCAAATTTTACATGCAATTAATGTTGTTCGCATGATATTTATAGTTATTTTTATGAGATATGTTGAAAGTAAAATGCGTTTTTACTAAGTTAAAAATAGAATGTTTTACTAAAAATAACTAAAGAGTGTATTTCTGATCTACTGACGATTGGATCTCAGGAAAGTCTGAAATTGTTAATTTAGAGTCACCAGTTTTAGACAAACATGTACACTGTATTTACTGAACTTTAAGGTATTAAAAATCGCAGTAATAAATATAAAAAAAGTTCATTTGCATTTATTGACACTGCTATAAATTTGAAAAAGTTTCGACGGATAATATTAGGTGAATGACATTTGACGTTTCTTACATTCCTGTAAATATTGATGTAAATTTGTAGGTCATGTTCTAAGAGTATCTATTGTTTAACTTTAATGCTAGTCATTTCAAAGTATTGCGGGCCTGTTGGTCTAGTGGTTAGTGACCTTGACTGCTAAGTCAGAGGTCGTGGGTTTGATTCCCACCCAGGATAAATTTTGTGTAATGAGCACGGTCATTTGTTCTTTGTCTGGGTGTAATTTATCTATAACTGGCTTTTTGCCCCGGCTCCGCCCTTGTGTCCTCGTGTCCTCGTTCCCTCGCGATAAAAAAGCCTATGTCCTTTTCCACAACTCAAACTATCTCCTTACTATATTTCATTTAAATCGGTTCAGCGGTTATTGACTCCCCATACAAACTTCCACCCCCCTTTTCACCTCCTTAAAGAATGATTTCTGAGATAAAAACTATCATATGTCATTCTTGGGACTCAAACTTTCTGTATTTAATTTTACCACTTTAATTTTACAAATTTAAACCACTACGCCATCCCCACAGTCAAATATTAACTTTGCCTGCCTTTCTCAAAAGGAATGAATATTCCCCATCTTTGCAAAGTTTTTCATTGATGCTTATCTCCTATTGACATTTTTATAATGACTAGAGTAAGCTTTCTTTGATAAATGGGTTATCTAACACTAATATATTTTTTTTCAATTCGAACCAGTAATTCCTGATTAAATCCTGAAAAACGCACTGCACTCGCACTGGCCGGATGGCGTAGTAGTTTAAGCTTGCGCCACGCCATCAAGTTCGATCCCCACATGGGACGACACTTTGTGTGATCCACAAATTATCGTTCTGAGTCTGGGAGTTCTTTGGGTCCGTTTCATGTATGTTTGTACAGTCCCCCGCGTCACAGGATATATTCCTAGTGCGGGAGTTGTCTTTATGATCAGAAATCAGAAATAATCAATCTTCAGCTGAATATAATATTTATGTGGGAACATCTTTATTACTCAATCAGTTATTATTTCTAACGAAACTAATAGCCTTAGCTAACTTGTTCTTGGCCACTCTGAGTCTGTATGTTTACAAGATATTAACACTAGTAATGACAGAAGCCTGCTGGTCATAATTCTAAGAAATAGGGTCATTGTTATAGCTATTTGATGTTCTATCTTAGAGTATATTATTCGAATCGCGGTATGAGAAACTTTAATTGTATTACCTTTTACACAAACATAAAAAAAATGTCTAGAGGACCTTATTATTTTTTTTGTATGACGAGCTACATAAAAGAATCCTTAGTACCATTAGATTGTTTTTTTTTCTACTGATTTGAGTTTTCGAAAAAATATTTTATTCATTTATATTCTAAAAAATATAGTTTATCAATAGTAATCTTATACCCATCTATTCCATTCGAATACCGGATTCAAATGCTATTGATATTTGTTTATAGTATATATTTTGTATTCCAAATGGATACCACCTTTTTAAAAGTCATTTCAACACAAATTTTTAGAACTTAGGTAAAGCCAGTAAAGATACTTTTGATGATATTGCTTTTGATGTTCGTTGTAGTGTTATACTTTCATAAAACCTATCTGAAGATAGGTTTTATTGTATTGATTAGTCTTAAATTCATTTAAATACAACAAAGACCGAATGATCAAAAGAACAAAGGCTGTAACGTGATAAAAAAACAAAAAAAAAATACGAACTTCCTTTGAAGCCAGTTTGCTTTACAAAGTTTTAAAATTTGGCATTAGTTTATAATATCAAACAATAAATAAATACTAATACAATACAGAATAGAATAGATCGATATAGTTTCACTGGCATATTTCATGAATTTATATAGTTGCATCAAAATCAAAAACACAATGCTCTCTGAAGAAAAGATTAGCCCTGGATATTGTATACTTTGTCGACCTCGTCACGATTATGTGCAAAAGACATTGCCATACAAGTCAGAATAAATTGATATAGACACGGTCATTTTTCACGAAAACATAGTCAAAAGAAATCACTTACACAATGTGTATAGAGAAATTATTCTCGGTAGTATTGTGAAGCAAACTCCAGCTCTCAACATTCAACAAAATATTAATCTTATTGCATACAAACTGTATTCTGTAATATTCTATTCGATTTCAATTTTAGAATATAATTATATGAATACCATTTAGTAAAAAAATGAAGATTTCGTACCTTATAATCGTTTGCGAAACCATTTTGTTACGGTTAATATTCTGAAAAGAGCTTGAAAGGTTAGCGTTTCTGGTACTAGTACCAGAATACTCAGTACTCTGAGTACGCAGGAAAAAATAGAAACATATTTTTTACATCTTAAAAAAAAGTAAATTAACTACTACTAATTTAGTGCCTATGAGATCGAAACATTTAATCTGATTTAAGTTTCCTCCTCTTGTCTGCATAGTATGTATTTTTTTAGTTAAAAAACTTTTTGTTCTTCATACAGTAAATAAAAAAAGTAAAGTAGTAAAAAATTTTACAAAAAAATGTGTATGTGTTTAGGTTGAATGTTGATGGCAAAACTGAGATGTGAATAATTGTACAGTTTTCTAGTAGCTTGTGATTTGTGGTCAAGTAAAAAGGTATACTGCGGTCATTTTATGCAATTGTTAAACAACTAGTTTGTCACCATTTTCTTATATACAGACGTATGGATATATAACGAGGTTATTATGAATATTGACAAATTTTTGGGGTTTATTTTATTGATAGTCCTTTATTTAATACAAAACATTACATAAAACAATTATTAAAAAGAAAATAAAATTTTTGGTAATTTGTCGCTGGTATAATCGCATTGCATTTGATTATTTAATTCTTTTTATTTTTTGTTGTTGTCGTGTTTCATATTCTTTATTTATTCCACTAAAACTATGTAATTGTGAATCTACCTAACCTTCTTTTTTTGATTTCTTTAGAAATGTATAAATTTTAATTCATCAACGTTTTTTACAAAAAATTATTTAAGTCACTACACTTTACAAGACACGTAAAGCATTAGTTACACTTGCGTCATCACCTTTATGATTAAAAAATCGACAATAGGTGGTCGATAATGTGGGCCAAGGTTAGATGCAATTTCACAAACAGCGTTAGTAATTCGACGGGTGTATGTCTGTTCATTTGTCCTAGGCCACCTTCGAACAAAAGATCTGTATTTCCCTTAAACGCTAGGCATCTGTCGTATTTAGTTTCTTGTCGTATTTTTCCTTATAGTTGCTTAAATAATCGGTTTTTACTAGTTTTAGATATAAACTTTTATAGTTATTTTCCAAAAGGGATCAACCACTGAGCATGGCATTATATATCGCCTATTTTGCTTATTGAGCATGAATGCAAGGTCATCTGACTATAAACTAAACAGGGCCTGTATACCAACCAAACCGCTAAAATTCACATATATTTATCTAAATACATACATACATATTCTACAAATTATGTCCAGATACCGCACAAATGATCAATAACATAAACCTATTTACAATTGTAAGTAATACTTTTGTGTTATAGTTAGTTATTAAAATTATAACCCTTTGAATGTATCTGAAATTAAATTTATTGTCTTAAATAAAAAATAACATAATAATATTGCTATTAATTCGTCTTTCTAAAGTTGGTGGCTATTGTTTGTCTTGATTAAGTTAGAACTGTAGCGAGTCTTTAGAAGTGCCATCTTAATTTCGTTTGCAAATAATTTCTCAAAAATATGAACAAAAATATTTTTTTAAATTCAAAGCAACACATAAAAATAAATTGCACATTGAAATAAAAA